GGAGGAAAAAAACGGGGCTCTTCCAGGTTGCTCGGAGTCTGGGAACTGCAGCGTGGAAGCAGAGGTTGTTCAGCCGATTTCCACTCACGGAATCCCAGAATGTTCGGGGTTGGAAGGGACCTCTGTGGGTCACCCAGCCCAACCCCCCTGCCGAAGCAGGGTCACCTACAGCAGGCTGCACAGGACCTTGTCCAGGTGGGGCTTGAATATCTCCAGAGAAGGAGACTCCACAACCTCCCTGGGCAGCCTGTGCCAGTGGTCCGTCACCCTCAGAGGGAAGAAGTTCTTCCTCATGTTCAGATGGAACTTCCTATACTTCAGTTTGTGCCCGTTGCCCCTTGTCCTGTCGCTGGGCACCACTGAAAAGAGTGGATTAAAAAAAAAAGATAAAATTAAGGTAGAAAGGTTTGAGATCTGCCTGATGGCTCCCGTCAGCAGCCCGCACTGCTGTAAAGGGTTCATGGTGTTGAAAGGGGTTTGATGGAATAAGAACATCAGAAGGTTCACAAGAACGTGATTTTTTTCCTTTTCAGTCTGTTTGTTATAAGATGAACTAAACGGCACTCCTAAAGCTATGGTCATAAAGACCATTTCATAGCGCCTTGGCATGGAACTGCTAAGCACGTGCACTTTCTCGGTTGCTGCGCTCAGTGTGGCGCCCGCTTGCTGTTTGGGTTTTGATAAATTCTGTAGCTACTGCTAACTCCAGAGAAATGCTGCAGAAAAGATGGTACTTCGGTCAGTAAGGTTCTGTCTTGAGGTTTAACAGACAGGGAGAAGAAGATATTATTCTTACGTGCTAGGTTTGGCTGGCGAAGCTAGGTGTGAGGAACAGCCTGACTCGACATTTTTGGCTGAGCACGTCTGCGATTCAGCGGGGCTGAAGTAAAGAAATTTGGATTAGGTGTTGGGGAAGGGTGCTGCAGAAAAAGAGGAGAGAATTGTGCCTTCGTGGTGACTAAAGCTGAATTGGATGTAGCACGCAGCCATTGGAAAGCAGCGCAGTGAAAGTAGTTGTTCCCCCACGAGAATATGAATCTGGAGGATGGTTGCAGGAGAGGCGTGTGGTGAGATGACAAACGCTGTGCCACAGTCTGCTTACATCCACATATCCGTGTTCTGCTGTAGTTCTTAATGATTATTGATTAGTAATATTTAAGGGAAAAGATGAGGTGAAGGTTTAAAGTCTATGTCATTGAAATACTGTATTTTCTCAATTTATTTGGCTGTGCTCAGCTGCAGAGTAACACTATTTCTATTGCTTTTCAGCTATGAGAAACCTCCCCCGGGGCTAATTAAGGTTGGTAAATTTATTGCAGTAAATTCTTAGCATTACGAGGGATTTTCACACAACTTGCGTTTTAGCTGTTTATCTTGTGTACGTTACCTATATAAATTACAGAGAGAAGTAGGTGCTTCCAGGGAAAAACTCGGAGCTCCTCAGTTACAAGCCAGCCTCTTTGACTTGATGAATCCCGAGTGAAATGCCCAGAGTAAGAGGACGATACCAGTTCTTTCATCACCTCTTAGCAAGCACACTTAATGCAGTATTTATAGTGCAGATAGAGGAGGGAGTCATTTATGGTGAAGCAGACTTTCACTTTGAATGACATCTTTTCAGAATTCTTCTCCATTGGTTATGCTCAAATAATTGTCTAAAAATACTTTCCTTTCATAATGATTGTTGCTTTTTCCAAATTTGTATACCTAAGCCATAACCTAGTGCTTTTAACCTAAAAAATAGTGCTCTGTGTTGTAAAGGCTGTTTTTAAATGTTATGTCGTGTTAGCAGGAAGAGAAAAAAGAAGTCTCTGTCTGTTAAGTTTTCATTTATATTCTTTTTTAAAATAAATTACTAAAGTAAATGAGAAGGAATGGAATTAATACGGCAATAAAGTTCAGACTGGAAAATTCAAGGGTGAGGGGGGAAAAAGAAAATTGCTTAATGCTCTTAAAAAGGTCAGGTATTTTGGATCCTTTGTGTGTTACAAGAAAAAGAAATGTTGCAGGGCAAATAGGTTCCATATTAAGTGAAGGCCTGCACACTTGGAGTATTAATTTTTACAAAGTTTTTTAAAAAACGTGGTTTTTTATTGTCCTTATCTTTTTCTGTAGGAGAATGAAACAAAACCAGAAGACTGCATACCTGATGTACCCGGCAATGAAAGTGCACGAGAATTCCTGGCACATGCCCCGACAAAAGGGCTTTGGATGCCTTTGGGAAAAGAAGTCAAAGTCATGCAGTGTAAGGCTGAAAATATTCCAGATGTCATTGGACCTTCATATAGCCATCCGTTTACCCTGGGGGAGGGCAGAATGTCTGGTGGACAGATGACAAGGTCCAGGTAGATTGGCATCATATTGATATAAAAGCAACCAGTACGTTGAAGACTGTAATAAAATGGATTTTATGGATGTTACGTTTATTGACATAATACTTGTATCCATTTATTTGTTTCAGCAAATTGAAAATATTTTCCATAAATATGTTTGGTTGTTTTTTTTCCTCCTCTTTTGATCTGGCTCAGAGGTGCAATTCACGGCTGCTTCTTTTTTTTAAGGTTGGAGGTGTAAACGTTATGGACACAGAACAGGAGATAAAGAATGCCCATTCTTTATTAAAGGCAATCAGAAATTGGAACAATTTAGAGTAGTGAGTACAAATTCTGTAGTATTATTACTTGTATTTTTTAATATTGATGATGCATAACCATGCAAGTGAAGAGAAGCCTGTTAGATGATGCTTTATTAAGGACTTTTCCTCTGTCTCTAGTATAATGTAGATGCTGAAAATCTCCTAATAAAGAAAAAGCTGCAGATGTGGTTGGATGTTTGACTACTTTGCAGAAAATCTACTCTTCGAGAGGAAAATTAGTAATTTTTACATTTAAATTGGAAATCTTCAAGAACCTGTTTCAATCATTATATTCAGTTTTTGTGATTAAAATGTTTAGTCAAGCTTGAGCTGCCCACATTACAGCTGCTTCAAGCCTTCCGCTCTCACTGAACAACTGCATCGTGAAGCCTGTTGTCTAGGTCTGTAATCCAGTCATTGCCTACAAGTCTGATCTCTTGCTACGTGAGGCAACATCTCAGTTCTGCTGATTCTTTCTGCGTGACCTCTTTAATTTTTCTTGTTGCTCTACATTGTTAAACTGTATTTCAAGCTCTCGTCACTTCATATCTTATGTCTTCATTTCTGTCCTTGAAAAAATGCAAGCTGGACTTACTGTGTCCAATCAGAATGCTACTGCAAAGAGTATTTTTAGCCCTCTCCCATGACCAGATTGCCTCTGTTCTTCATTTTTCCTCAGGCTGCTTCTCTGTTGCATCAAACTGTTGCCCTTCATCGTGTATTCCCAGCACCTTTCATTTGCTACTGACATTTTAATTCCCCCCTCTGGTCAGCGTCTGATATCTTCTCTCTGTTGAACTCATTTGCTGAATCTTGCAACAGAAATAGTCACCCCATCTTTTTGCTGCATTGTTGCATGGCATGAACTCACCTTAAATGTCTGCAAGGTTTATTTGCTGACTTCCTTCACGACAATCTTTTGCTGCAATGCCTGTTTAATTTAAAACCAACTGATTTAAGAACCAATAATGGTAGCGCATAGCATATTAGGGCAACTACATTAACCTTTTGTCTAATATTCCTTGCTCTTATATTCCTGTGCGTTTGTATCCAAGTTTTTAAAATACGCTGTAAGGACACTGCTTGTTATTTTGAGCTTAAGTATTCCTTCTGTGTCTAGCTATTCCTATAATATATCTGTGGGGTTTTCTTACTTAACTGTGGTGGGAGAGGGAGAGAGGTAGTATGCCTAAGCAGAGTCCCCTTCATTAGTGAAGTAACTAGATAAGCTTTTCCTAAAGTAAAAAAAAAAAAACAACAAACAATTCAGATTGATGATGTTAAATCTGAGATTATGCTTGTGAATTAACAGCTCACTAAATATATTTCATATTTTGATAAAAGCCTCTTGCATTAGTTTATTTTTTTAAGAAATACAACAGTGAGTAATAAATACTTTTCTTTACCACTTTAAAGGCACATGAAGATCCAATGTACGATATAATAAGGGAAAACAAACGTCATGAAAAAGAAATGAGGTAAGTCTGTTTCTGTAGTAAACTGCTTTAAATTTGGTTTTCATTTTGATAATAGGATACTAATGTATAGGTGAAATTTTGATATAAGCTGCGCTTACCAGCTCCAGACTTTTTTTTTTATGGCAGTTTCTTTATTTTGGCAGACACTAATACATTTCTACCTTCTCAATAATCACTCATTAGTACTTGCTACCTCTTTAATTCTATTAGCTTCTATATTTTTTCCCAAAAGGTTTAAATGTCAGAATGTTCAGATACTTGAGTTTATTTTTTGTTTAGGCCTAGAAAAAGATTTTAAATTTTTTTTCTTCTTTCACTGACTTCACTGATATGTTTTTTAAAATTTGGTACATTAGAGTGCCTTCAGTAGAGATGAAGGGATGGATTTCAACAGCTAGTTCCAGGCACCCGATGTTGTTCCTCATGTGAGGTCATTATTCAATATATAAAGCAGCAGAGTTCTGTAATGCGTTTTTACTTAACCTGCATCAATGAGGTAACTGAACAAACTATAGGTAGCCCATAGAGTAGTACTGCTGCTGTGGGTGTGTTGCCTTTTTTTTTGTTTGTTTTTCTTTTAAGAAAAAAAAAAAAGCAGCAGAGCCTTGGAGAGCATACTGAAAACAACAGTAAAATAAACAGTTTATCCCCATTTGCCAGTAATCCATGAAGGTTCAAAGGAAGAGTGCCTGTCAAAAATACCTCTGCATCTAAAGCAGAGCCTACTCTGTCAGCTTCACTGACATCTCTGTATCGGCAGGGAAAGGAATTTTGTAATATCGTAATCCCAGTATGCATCTGTGTGTGGATAAGCATAGAACTTCTTATGGTGGTCTGGTGACAGCTGGTACCTCATTGTTTTGCACACATAAATATTGGCCAATAAGCTAGTCTGTCTGATACCGCGTGGGATGGAAAGTGCCTGAAAGCAGACCGTCTGCTCGTCTCAAAAGAGGTTGCTTTTATCAGTCTGAAAACTGTAACGAGAGTGTAATTCAGCAAAAGACGAAGTGTTCCCCTGCCCTTTGCATGCAGCTTCCATGGCTCAAGCTAGGAAGGAAATGGATGAAAGCTTGAAGAAATTATTACAGGTAGAGAAGAGCTAGAAAGGATTCTTACTCACATTTTTTAAACTCAGGATACAGCAACTGAAGCAGCTCCTGGAGGACTCTACCTCAGAAGATGATGATGATAACAGTGATGACAGCGATGAGGATGATGAAGATGGCAGCAGCTCCACTTCCTCAGAATGTAGAGATAAACACAAGAAAAGAAAGAGAAAGAAGGAAAAGAAGAAAAAAGAAAAGAAGAAGAAGAAAAAGAGAAAGCGTAAATCATCTAAATCTAATGAGAAGTCAGAATCTGACTGATGGCAGTCACCTGCTGCGTGCTCATTGACCTTTACTTGTGAACTGGAAGGAAAGATCCAAAGAATGAGGAGGAAACTACCAGAAAGGGCTTTATTCAACTCAGAGCATAGAGATGGATACACACAGCATCCTACAGTGGATGTCCTCTTCTGCCCCTCTGCAGTGCTGCAGCCAGAAGGAAGAGAGCTGCATTGAACAATACTCAATCAACCATATCTTTATACTTTAAAACCCGTGCAAAAGGTCATCCGTCCCAGTCAGATTGGGCCTCTGCGTTGCTGCACGCGACTTAGCAGCGGTGACTACCAAGGTATCGCTGACAAATCTGTGGAATTCAGCAGACTGTATTGAAGTGTCTTTTCTCCATGAAGTTATTTTATTACATACAATGCCTCATTGTAACAGGATTGCAGTTTGCACCATGCAGAGCACTAACATTTCACTGACAGTGCTTACAAAAAGCAAGTTGTACTGTAATTTTTTTCTCTGCATACCGCCTATGTGCTGAAGTTCATTGTACTTGTCCTGGTACTGGCAGCTAAGGAAATAAAGAGCACTGCTGAAGGGGGGAAAAAGTTAATCAAGGAGATTTACTTTAAAACAAAACTGCAGTGTCAGCAAGACTTTTTTTTTGTGTAGCAAAATCTCAACATCACCACCATTAATATGCACAGTTCTGCAGTACCTAAATGCTCTCAAAACCATAGGAGTGGGAGCCAAGTGTAACAATATTAGATGTTCAACTTTACTGTAAAGAGGTAGTGATTTTAGTTATTAAAAAAGGGGGTTTTCATGTTAGAAATGAAAAAGATTAATTTCTACATACACTTCAGTATCAGTTGTTTTGATACATTTGAATTTTTTTTTCCCTTTTAAAAAGGCTGGGGGAAGTGAACTCCAACTTTTTTGATGTTTACTAAAATTATTTTGTATAGTGTTTTATGAATCATACCACAAGAATATGAATGAGTAAAGCTTTCAGAATAGTTTTCAACTATATGCATATAAGCTACAGAACAGTAGTGAAGGACTTGTAAGCAGGAAGAAGGGAAAGTTTTGTGTAATTAGTTGACCTTGTGGACTGACCACACTTTCTTTTAAATAATCTTGCAAGGCAGACTTGACTAGCAACAGTAAGCTAGCTATAAACTGTATTAGAGTAAGCATCTCTTTTTGAAACATCAAGGTACAGTGGTACAAAGCTGTAATTTGAGGACCTAGATAATGTATATTGGTACTCTGCAAAAGGAGAAAGAAAAATAGATTTGTTTTGAAAGGAGTAGGAAGGACTTTCAAGAACTTAGTCTCTGTGCTTACATTTATATTGAAAAAAGCACAGTAAAGTATGATAGTAGTAGAGTGAGCATTAACATTGAAATCAAGGAACCATAAACAAAAGTGCATTTAAGACTTTTTTTTTTTCTCCCGAGAGCTTTGGAAAAAAAGGACAGGGGAAAATATACATTAAAATGTGTTTTTTCCCTTCTGTAAGTCTAGGAGTCATTTAGTTCAAATAAACCCCCATTCCTTGCCAGTCATTCACAGTATGTTCTGGGGAAAAACAAGGTAGTCAAGGCCTACTTACAAAAAGATTCTTTGTCTTATTCCCAGAGCTTAAATGTGGAGTTGTGTTTTATCCTCCAATATTATTTAGCAAATCTCCCTGTGATGGGATTTGCTGGTGACTGCTGATAGTTCCCTGTATCAACATCACCATCAACAAATTCAAAGCTCCTGGCTCTTTCACCAGAAAAAAAGATTTAACAGCTGAAATAGCATGAGGAGATTTACCATGGCCTGGTTCTGTGTATTGCCCCATTTGGTGTCGAGAAGATCCATGTGTTTATAGCACTGGTGATTGTTGGACAGATGCTGGAAGCTGCAGCTAGTATTCACCTGATGCATTGCAAGAGAATTCTCACTCAAGTTTGTCTAGAGCAGAGCTAACCTAAAGATCTCTGCAGTTACTTTAGCTTTTGTCATTGAAGATTTTTTCTGAAGTTTAGTTAAAAAAAGCAAACTCAGTTTTTCCTTAGTCTGTCATCCCATTCCTTGTTAATGGGTCCTTCCCATTTTACCTACCAGGGTTTACTGTTTGAACAATCTAGAAAAATACTGTAATAGACCATTCTCTAACTTACATAAAATGCAATTTAAAAGTTTGTTTTGAGATACCAAATCACTGTTCTGTACAAGACTAAAGGTCTTTTTAACCCAGTAAGTATCTTTTTTTGCCGATGGTCAAAAGTGGGTGTCTACGCAACAGAGCAGTGCAAACTCTAGTGGCGTTATTTCTGTTATTTCACCAAAATGCTGTCTCAGCCTGTACTGCTTGTAGTGCGGGTACTTTGAATTATAGGCTATATTTTAGTAGCCTTGGATGTATTCCCCACCCCACATCCAGTCACTTCTTGTAAACGTCACAATTTCCTTCAACAAGGAACTCTGAAGATTAATTAATATTTAGTGAAAAAATATTATTTGCTTTCAGACTGTTCCCTATTAGTTTAGTTTCATACACTCTAGTTCTTGTACAGGAAGGCATGTGAACAACTGATTCCTATTAATTTCCCCATATCATTACCAGTTTTATAGATCTCTATCATATCCCATATATAAAGATTTCATTAATTCTCTACTGAAGCTCAAAAATAGAGCCAGTTTCAGAATTAAAGCTAACAGTTTCAGTAGAGTAATATTTCAAGTAGTACTGACTGGCGGCCAGTGCTAGAGTGCCAAGAAGCCCAGGTGATTTCATCATTTAGCATTTTAAACAGTGCCAAAGCTAGCATTTAGGACATTCTATGTCTTTTAGAAATACATAGACTAGAGATAAATACCAACACCCAGGTATACTAATGGAAGATGATTCTATGTAGAATTAAATCCAGAAAGCAGGATAGAAAGCTATAGGTCTTAAGACTAATTAGCCTTACTTTTTAAATCTTAGCCATTGGACTATTTATGCTTTTCTTCAAAACTCTTTTTCCCCCCACTATCAATCCTTGCCTTCTTTGTACACATTTATTTCCATTTAAAAGTTCTGTTGAAACCTGAGTGGTAGTAATAGCATAATTGTATAGTCCCATGAATCGTGTGAAATGCAGCTACAACATCCCTCATAAGCAATACAGCTGAACAGGTCTTCAGCTCCCAGATCTGATTATCTTAATACTCTGAACCATTCTTCTCAGAAAGATTACTTCAGCAAAAATACTGACCTCTGTCTGATTTCTTTGGCCATGAAGTTACTTGGGGTTTATAGTCTTGTTGACAGAGATGGCTGGTGGCAGCGAGTCGGTCAGGGAGTGTGAGGACTCTTAAGTGGTGCATTTGTTTTTGCTTGGTATGCCTATAGTTAGCATGCAATGAGCAGTTTTTGCCATTGCCTCCTGTCTTCCATTGTTTTATTTTAATAGAAAGACCTGTAATTAATTTTTTCCAACATAAGACAGAAAAGAAGATGGGACATTGTAAAAGGGAGAGCTTATGCCACACAGACAGCAAATTAAAATATAGAATTAAAACCTAGCAAGCCAACACAAACCACTAGCTCCACTTCAGTGATTATACCACACCCACTTTGCAACAGAAGTTTTAGTTAGCTACAAATAATGATTCAGAAATTCTGAGTCACAGACAGCAACTCTGTCCAAACAACACTCCCAGTACGGCAGTCTCAGAGGCCTCAAAAGTTTGTTACTGGTGTGCCAAGAAGCGAATAGATTCTTCAGCTGCTCCTCAGTAGATGCTGCAGGAAGCATATGAAAACTTCAGAGGCATTGCAATGCTGCTACAGTTACACACTTACAATACTGCCAGCACCACAGTTACTCATCACTGGGCAATCTAGCTTCAGTGGTAACAAATTGACACGTATCTGTAAAATTAAATGAGATGCCACTGTGGCTGGTGGCCTGGCCAAATGAAAAGAACATGGACTTAAATTCACAGCCTTTCAAAACGGAGGCTGTATTTCACAGCCTTTCTGGAGCATGACCATTTTGCCCACTAGAATGTTAAAAACAGTTTAAGCCAGTTGATTTAAGATGCAGTCCAGAAATCATCCATGCTGCTGAGTGAAGGAAAAAAAAACAAGTAGAAGATTTAGTTTTAAGGTCACAGGACTAATACTGTCAGAGCAGAGTAGACCACATATACCGTTATGTAATAATTATTTCTGGAGCACTAGAACATTCATACATACTACTCTAAGCGTGGGTGTGGATCCCATAGCATGGGCACACTACAAAGTTTTAAGCAATTAGTTTAAAATAGCATTTGTTTTCAACAAAGAGCTATCTAAACACTCCTGCTGCTACTCTTGCATCTTCTTGGGAGCTAGAATCACCCGGCCCTCAACTGATTCTTACACCCAAGTAGAAAACATATTAACTAGTGCAAGACCTGTGAAAGGATGACTAGCATGATCTTGGGAGTACCTGTGAAAGATTTACATGGCACTTTTATTTTCAGGAATGGCTACTGTGAGGTCATGAATATTTCTTTATCAGACAAACAGCAAAAGACAAACAATTACATGCCAGCAGAATTGGCTTCGTATTCATTCCCAAAGCTACACTCAAGTTCAGGGAAAAAGAAGTCAATCCTTACCTAAGAGGTCAGTTATAGCTGAGGATTACTCTTAGGTCATCACTTGCAGTCTTCAGGGTGAAGAGATTCTACCACTTATTCTCCCCATCAGAATAAAGTCTATCCCCCTCCCTCTTAGAGCAGCACATTCCTGTATTAGGTATCCAAGAGCAGCAGTGTTATATTTGCCAGAGCATTAAAAAGCTCCACGCTTGAAATAATTCTCTCCCTCATTTTATTCTGAGGTTCTGATGCAACAGAAGTTTTGTGCAGCACAAAAGCTAAAAGAAGAATTTGTATTTCTTATTTTCTTGCAGTGCTTAGGGTAGAGAGGAAATAAAACCTTGGCATCACAATGTTGAAGTGGGTCCTTTCCCCTAACAGCTTGAGATAAAGGCTGTCATTACTGTAGTGCTTTAACGTAAGCAAGTGCTACTAGAAATAATAGAAAGATCAAGGATAAGTTGAGTAGGGAAACCTCAATACTCCCCACTGCAGGGAAAATAGCATAACCTCAGTTACTGGTCAAACTACTAATAGATAGGCACAAAACTTGAATGCAGTCACAAGAAATGCTACTTTTATCTATGTAGGCTACTCTAGGGCACAGAGAGCAAGAACATTGGAAGAGGAGGCAGAAGACAAGTCTTGTCTGTCCATCCCTCCCCCCCACCTTTAATAAAAGAAAA